GTATCCCCGGGTTCGATTCCCCACATTGGTACAATGTGTGAAGCCCATGTCTCGCTTCCCCCGCCGTTATATAGCTGGAATATTGCTGAAAGCGGCGTAAAACTAAAAACTCACTCACTCACTCACTCACTCACTCTATAAATTGTCTTGGATGTACCTCCCTGAATAAATCTTGGGATGTAAGTCTTGAGTCGGGGCGAGTCGGGAAGTTAAGCCTTTTCGTCAGGTGTCATATTCCACTTTCAGTTTTATGCGGCCAGCTAGCTATAAAACATGAAAAACAAGATTCACGACCGCTTCCGCTGTAAAACATTCATAACAGGATTCTTTGCATCCACTTAAGCCATCAAACATACAAGCGAAGATTTATGCAATACTTAAGCTATGTACAAGGCACAACAAAACTTAAAACATAACAACATGGCTCCACCTACGATATATAGTGTAGAAACAAGTGCAACCACGTTAGTTATAAAACGTAAGAAAACGAGGTGAGGTGAAATTGGGTTTAACGTCGTGCTTGAGAATATTTCGCTCATATGACGACGTGCAAGCGTGTGTATGTGTATGTGTGGCTGCTTGTACTAGCCCAGACTTAAGCTGGTTTTATAGTGCTACGTAAGCAAACGAGAGTTTACACAACCACTTAAACGAAATGTACAAGTAAGACTTTATGAGGTAATATATCTTATAGATAAGACTCTGTACAAAAAGATAGAGGCCGGAAAAGACAAATATTCTATAGATTGTAGGGCTAATCCACAAGATACTGATGCTGAACATATTCCCGAGGCAACCTCATATGAGGCTAATAAATGCGCACCTAACATATAAACAGTGGTTCCCCGGACGATGGCTCATTGCGGAGCGATTTGATTGTGACATAAAGTATGGAGTTATCTCCCTTTACTCAAAGCGGGGACGATACGTCGGACCTAACGTATTGTGAATGTGTATGATGTATGTCTTACGCTTAAACATGTATGTTTCCGCTCTTGCCTAAAACATGTTCCTCATTAAAACGGTGCTTCAGGTGCCTTGAAATAGCACGATTTGCTTTTTACTGTTTAAGTTGCCATTTCTTTGGATTGCCTCTATAACTAAGTTGTTCAGCAGTGTGCTGGAACCAGGAGGTGGGAACTGGGTGGAGTGAGTGAGTGAGTTTAGTTTTACGCCGCACTCAGCATTATTCCAGGTAATATGGCGCCGTTCTGTAAATAATCAAGTCTGGACCAGACAATCCAGTGATCAACAGCATGAGCATCGATCTACGCAATTGGAATACGATGACACGTGTCAACCAAATCAGCGAGCCTGACCACACGATCCCTTTTAGTCGCCTCTTACGACCAGCATCGATTACTAAAGATCAATTCTAACCCGGATCTTCACGGGTGAACTAGGTGCAACCAAACAATTGGAAAGGAATGCCTTTCATGTTTACTTCTGGACATTTGGGGGAATATAAATGAGCCAGACGATGGCTTGCTGTTTTAATATCTGTAGAAAAAGTGTCACTATTGTCACTATTGTAGGTGAGTATGCGTTTGGATTACTTTACATCCAAAGTTGTTATTTGTTGTTTGGACATTTTTAACATATAGTTTCAGAAGGTCTTTCTTTCCAAAACTAGTTACCATAGCTGTCTTGTCTCCATGAATAATGCGCCCATATGGCCACACCAAATAGCCATCCTTTCTAAATTAGCTAAAATATAAACATCAAAGTTAAACCCAACTGATGACGGTTATAATTCACTTTCACCAAAAAGAACAGGTCTGTCTAGGACGCCGCTCCCAACAGTATTCCATTCACACCAGAAGCACAATCGTTATGATGGAGAAAAGCTCCAAGTGATGCATGTCCCTGTCTGGTACAACCCAACGGGTGCTGAGAAACCTAAACACATAATCGGGTGAAATGGGATTCGAACCCACTATCACTGGCCTGTCCAAGGGACACAACTCACTACAAAGAGTGTCTGTGCCTTGGGTTACCCGCATGATGAAGGGGTGAATGACAGAAGCATTATTTTTAAAAGCCATTACATTGTTTAAACTGGTAAATTGCAACTGTTTTATCAACATTTCGTGTGCAAACAAATATGGCGTTACATAATATGGTTACATTTCATTTTATGTGTTTGAATTAATCAATAATATATGGTGTGTCTGTTTTGTTTTGGCTGGGAAACTAAACCGATGCACTACTTGCAACATCCTACACCACAGTGAAGTTACGTAACATAAATCCAATAAAATATAAGGAAATGCTTCGCATAAAAGCATGAACGCTTGCTAATTGGGATAAAAATGAGAAGGACCTGTTTCACGCGTTCTTGCAAGTTTTGTTTTTCAAATTATTTAAAAACTTGTCGTCCATGATGTTTCAAAACGAACACCCACATATGTGTGTGTTTGTTTGTAAAGAATGAATGAAACATTCTGGTTTTATCATCAAATGCAGCTCACCCTGATAAATCAATATTTACTCAGTATTGCTCACTGTAATAAAAAAACCCACAATAATCAGTACTGACACCCACTGACCCAACATGGAGGTGTGTAGTGACGCAAGTCCCAATGTCAACACTGTCAACACCCACGTGTCGTCACCGCATGCAGGTGAACTCCTCCGTAAACATCCAATTAATGCCGCGAGACTTCAGTCAACACTGCTGTGTTATATAATGAAGCAGTGTCACCTGCAGGGAGCACTCAGTTCTCACTGCTATAAGATGGGGATGCTACCGAGTGCTCATTATTTGGATACAACAACCTGCTTTGGGTGTGACTCTGATGAGGAGAGCTGTATTGAATCTAAAATATGTAAAACTTGTCCCAAAATAAGAAGTCCGTTGTTTATATTTACAAGCTATGATTGGTCATTTAAACGAAAGATTCCAATATAAGAATACACCGTTACAAAACCTCCAACATCTGGTATCCCACTATAGAAGATAAATGTGTATAGCCCAATTCTGGTGTTCCCCGTCGTGATATTGCTGGAATATTGCTAAAAGCGGCGTAAAACCATACTCACTCACTAACTCACTTATAGCAGATAACACGGATAACTCTGTGAGGTGGATGACAATTTACGGTTTGTTCCAGAAAGAGGCCTTTCTCTGCAAAGTCCTTGGAACAGGATTGTTTTGTGTTATTGATGAGGAAATATTTTATCTCTGTTGGCAGGCGTGTCAGTTTTCCTTCTATGATAAACGTTGTCCCGATCTGCGGAATGCGATCTAAACGCCCCATGACACTGAGGGTGTTCCATGACTGACTTTGCAATACCTATCCTAAGTCGTTCAGCGGAAAATACCACTTGTAGAGTTCTAGTTTTCTTTTCCAAAATCCAATTGAAAACAAATGTCAATTCCTCCAATTTTATTCCTCATGATAATATGTTGAATATGACGATATGGAAGTGTGAAGACGTTAAATTTTGAAGATTGACATTTTGTTTGACCTTCCACATCATCAAATCTAGTGTGTGAGGCACTCGATCACTGCACACCTCTCTCCCACCCATGTGCTTTTCAGTCACCCATCTAGAGTTACCCGACCTGCCTTAGCCTCGGGTAACTGAATCACCTCATAAATCTGTCTCTCTTTCTGATATTTTCACATTGTCATAACCAAAAATTCTTTCTTACTTTTAAACTCATACATGCAAATTTTTATACATACATTAACTCACACATTCACAATTTGATACAAAATGCTCAAAAACTGACACTTTGCATACAAACTTAGTACACATATCTTTTGCACTTAATATTTTTACCGTCACTCTTGCTACTTAAATGCAAACACCACTCATTCCATGAATGAAAAAAATTAACTGTATTTTTGGTTCCCGACCACATGCTGTATGTTTTAGAAGAAATGTTGTGAACTGTGGTTACATCGAACTAAACTTAGTCGTCCCTTTGAGTGAGTGAGTGAGTTTAGTTTTACGCCGCACTCAGCAATATTCCAGCTATATTGCGGCGGTCTGTAAATAATCGAGTCTGGAACAGACAATCCCGTGATCAATAGCATGAGCATCGATCTGCACAAATGGGAACCGATGACATGTGTCAACCAAGTCAGCGAGCCTGACCACCCGATCCGGTTCGTCCCTTTGAATTCGATAAAGCCGTATAAAGCATTTCTACTGAAATCGGAGTTCATGGTACCATACTGACTTTGTCAATCACATCTGATTATGAATCTCTATCAAACAGTGATGTTGTCAGGTGTAAGCAAATAGCTGAGGTTATACGGTCGTAAATACACGCAAAGACAAATGAATTGTTCATCAAGGAAAACGCATCACAGCGTCGACTTTGGAAATGCACCAACCAAAATTATTTTGAAAGCTTAGTTGGTGTCTTGAATGATGTAACCGTAATTAAGCAACCGTTTGTTTGTCCATGGAGTTTCAGGGTTTTGATTCATACTGTATGCTGACAGTCAGATATGTAAAATCAGACAAAGACCTTAGAGACCAGTGGTTGATAGTATGAACATCAACCAGGGCCGTAAGTATACGGGATGCTACTGTCACAAGTTACATAAAACGACTCTACATATAGTTCTCCTTCCTCGCCTGTAAACATTGATACCATCCGATCATCCCAACTTTTGTTGCCAGTAACGACTAGCCCGCAGATTATAATGTCACTTAAAAGGGAATTCCATCATTGGTGTTGTTCACTGACAACAATCACAACATTTAACAACTATTTTAGGTACAAATAATTGTTGTAATGGTTCAATGAATTGTGCAAGTAATAAACGGAAGAGTCTTGTCAACGCTTGTACAAAACCAAGACACAATTAAACCTTGGAGTTCATTTAAGAAATTGAAGAGTTTCCACTGAAAGGGTTGCTTCATGTTGTTTTCGTTTCACTTTTCTCGTTTTACAACGAACACTGCTCACTTTCATCGTCACTCAGTTATACTATCCCTTTTGAGCGTCCGTTTCATTGCGATTGGTAACAATAAATTCATTCATGAAAATGATATATTCTCGATAAATACATACATACATAGATTACACTTTGTCACGTTCAATCGAGGATAAATATCACAATATGTAATGAGGATTGATATAATTTTGATTTGAAGTTGTATATGATCTATGTACAGTTCAGCATTCAATGCTATGGTTCCTGTAATAATTGAAAAATGCATGACCTGAATATAGCCTGATATCACCATTGGACGCATTAGAATATATAATGGCCTTATGATGTTTGCGTATTATGAATATACTGAAACGCAAAGGATGTATGTAATGGAATGTGTGAAATCCCTTAATGAATTACAATGTGTAGAGACATTTCTGCGACATCTGATGTTATGTTTATGAAAATATCCTGAAACATAAACATATATGAAATATATCCAGGTTCAGTGTAAAGATACACATATTAACAGTAACTTTTGTTTGATAGACATCACCAAGAGTCACCCCGAAACAGTTCTCTTTCGCACAAAGATGAACACACAATTGTGGTTGAACGGGTCATGTCACCAATGTCCTGAGCAGGAACATGCATGTGGTTTCCGGGTTTACTGCTCAAATTATGTTCATATCCTGAGAGTTGTATTGTCCTTTTGATTCAAATCATAGTAGAAAAGGCATTCTCCCTTTGGTCCTTTTCACGCTCTTTTCTTTAAAGTATCTGATGATTGGGTTATTCAGGCCTAGCCCGTCCATTTCGGATTCTTTGAGACGAGAGAACTTCTTGCCGTCAAGGCCTTTCCGATGCATGTGGTTGATGAGCCTGTCTTCAACGCGCATGTACCGGAAGAAGGTGGCCATCTCGTCGGCGGTGAAGTTGTGGAGACAGCCGTCGTTTGGTATTGTAATGTCTTCCTCTGGGATTGAATCCACAGGAGCTGAAAGACATAATAATTATATAGAACTGTCTTCATAATTGTTCTTGTTAGTTTAATTGTTGCTTTTATGCAGAAATTCTGCGACCTCCCGTACGTTTTTATTGGTCAGTATGTCCATCTGTCACATCAGGTATCAGGAATGAGTTAATTTCCGCATATAATTTCGAGCTTAGCGTTTGTGGACCATTTGCTACATCATGCAACAGACCCTTAAGCTGATACAGTTTCTGACGGGTGAGTGAGTTGGGTAGCTTGAACGCAATTTCAGTTATGCCATCATGGGTCAGCTTGAAGAGAATGAACGTAGTCTATGTCTATGTCTAAGTTTATCACTTTGGTGATATACAGCACGGGAATAGCACTGAGAAACCTTGTGCTTCAGCACTAGCACATCACGGATTTCTTTCATTCCCGGGGCGGTGGGGTAGCCTAATGGTTAAAGCGTCCGCGCATCACGTTGAAGACCCGGGTTTGATTCCCCACATGAGTACAATGTGTGAAGCCCATTTCTGGTGTCCACCGCCGTGATATTGCTGGAATATTGCTAAAAGCGTCTAAAACTAAACTCACTGACTCACTTGGGAATGACACCTAGTGTCAAACACATCATCAGGTTGTGTATTACTTATATAAATCGCACCTGTTCGCACCTGGGGAGCACCTGTTCGCGAATCAAAACGTTTCTAACTTTCGAATGTTAACGAAGCCTTACATTTAGTATGTTTCGTGGTGTACACTTTGGATATTAACTCGTTTAACATCAGCGTTCGCATGGAAACTCACATGTTACAATGGAAGGCACACTCGGAGCAGGTTTCTTCATCTTGCCGGTGATGATGGAGTCCTTTGGTGGAATCCGTGGAGCCGACCCGTTCGTGCTGATTCTGAAAGAAGACATAGTTAGTGTTAAGCCTTTCTACGACCGTCTGATGGGTAACAGATATGTAATGTTCTGTCCAATGTGGTCATTCGCATTCTGACCGTATTCCGGTTGCCTTGCTTATGTGACAATAAATAACTGTAAATGTCACTTATAGTGTCACAAGGTTACAATAAGATCCTGTTGTGCTAACCAAGTTACTGAATAAATTGTTGGCGAATCGTAACTCCCTCTTGCGGGGAAACTATGACCCCAGCCTCTACCAACTACATGTCGTAAAACTGGATTGGAAAGGGAATTGAGTGGTCACCGTGTAACACCTGTTTGTACCTGTGCCACCATACCCCGACGGTCTGAACCAACCACTGCCTCGGCTCTAGAATACATCTGACACTTTTATACATCTTGAATGTTGTTCACTAAGGACAAAACAACATTCACACAATATAAATCACTGACTACATTAGAACAATATTGGCTTCAGGTGACAGCAAACAAAGGTCTTTACAAGTTGGCAGTTAATTCTCTCTGTTGAAGGTTTAGACAAAACGTTTATTTTTGAAAGAATTCGTCACATGCCAAGCATTTTGGACATGTTTGTGTTTTATCCCTGCGGCTAAGGGGATTATGAATACACTATATTTCCCTACACATGACATCTATAACAAATTGTCCAGCCCAGTGACAAACATGCACAGTGATAAATAGCTGAACCGTTTAAGAAAACATTAACTTGCCACCACAAGGCTGCTTAACCTAGTTGGCTGAAGAAATAATTTTAAACGTATTTACATATGCGGTGAAACTGGACCAGGCCATTCTGCTCTTTCATAGACATAATCTATTCTAACTATTGTCACAGGCACGCCCATGCTTTCATAGAGATTTAGGACATCAGTTGATATTCAGAAGAAAATACAGGTTTACTATGTTTACAGATATATTGTGTTTCGCCACGCCTGCTTTGAAACTAAGCTGAAATATCTGAAATACCTTGGTGTTTTTGTCAACTTTATCTACAAGGATCTTCACCTAGCGTGATATGTCGGCGACATATTTTATGTAGGTAATAACAAAAGCAAATAAAGAGTAAGATGGTTGTGTTGTACAGGGTTGATATGAGACTGGGTGGGTGGGTGTTGTGGGGAGGAGGTGGGCGTTGTTCAAAAGGAGGGACACCACTGTGTTTAACGTATACCTACCATGACAATGTACAATGTGCAGAAAGTGAATTCAAGAACACGATGTATTGATGTTGGATAGCCTCAGTGCAGCTAAATATACACTGCGTATGCATCTCAATTCGCATGAATCACCTTAGCCCGAACACCTTGTATCATCTTACTACCAAATAGTAATTCATAAACACATGCTCGTGATAAGAATGGACTCGTATAATGGTCGGATGTTTATGGGAGGATTATGGAAGTGTTTTTGTGCTGATATTTACCGCTTAACAGAAACCGGCGACCAAAGGGCATGTTCAATGTCACCTACAGCAACTGGCCATGACAAACAAGCCACTTGTCCTGTCTGTACCTGCACCGGGGAGACATAACAAAGACATTCCCCAACATCCAACCTACATGGCACTCCATACCAAGATATCATACCAAGATACCATACCAACTGCTAAAAAAATTAGGAATGTATCCACTTGTTCCAAGTCATTTTGCAGTGATATTATGGAAGTGGTGAATACACCGATATATATCCTTCATAAAAAGATGTTAAAACAATTAGGAATGTATCCACTTGTTCCAAGTCATTATGCAGTGATATTATGGAAGTGGTGAATACACCGATATATATCCTTCATAAAAAGATGTTAAAACAATTAGGAATGTATCCACTTGTTCCAAGTCATTATGCAGTGATATTATGGAAGTGGTGAATACACCGATATATATCCTTCATAATAAGATGTTAAAACAATTAGGAATGTATCCACTTGTTCCAAGTCATTATGCAGTGATATTATGGAAGTGGTGAATACACCGATATATGTCCTTCATAAAAAGATCTTAAAACAATTAGGAATGTATCCACTTGTTCCAAGTCATTATGCAGTGATATTATGGAAGTGGTGAATACACCGATATATGTCCTTCATAAAAAGATCTTAAAACAATTAGGAATGTATCCACTTGTTCCAAGTCATTATGCAGTGATATTATGGAAGTGGTGAATACACCGATATATATCCTTCATAATCAGATGTTAAAACAATTAGGATTGTATCCACTTATTCCAAGTCATTATGCAGTGATATTATGGACGTGGTGAATACACCGATATATATCCTTCATAAAAAGATGTTAAAACAATTAGGATTGTATCCACTTGTTCCAAGTCATTATGCAGTGATATTATGGAAGTGGTGAATACACCGATATATGTCCTTCATAAAAGATGTTAAAACAATTAGGAATGTATCCACTTGTTCCAAGTCATTATGCAGTGATATTATGGAAGTGGGTGAATACACCGATATATATCCTTCATAATCAGATGTTAAAACAATTAGGAATGTATCCACTTGTTCCAAGTCATTATGCAGTGATATTATGGAAGTGGTGAATACACCGATATATGTCCTTCATAAAAAGATGTTAAAACAATTAGGAATGTATCCACTTGTTCCAAGTCATTATGCAGTGATATTATGGAAGTGGTGAATACACCGATATATGTCCTTCATAAAAAGATGTTAAAACAATTAGGATTGTATCCACTTGTTCCAAGTCATTATGCAGTGATATTATGGAAGTGGTGAATACACCGATATATGTCCTTCATAAAAAGATGTTAAAACAATTAGGATTGTATCCACTTGTTCCAAGTCATTATGCAGTGATATTATGGACGTGGAGGACACACCGATATATATCCTTCATAACCAGATGGTAAAACAATTAGGAATGTATCCGCCTGTTCCAAATCAGTATGCATTGATATTATGGAGGTGGAGGATACACCGATATATATCCTTCATAACCAGATGGTAAAACAATTAGGAATGTATCCGCCTGTTCCAAATCAGTATGCATTGATATTATGGAGGTGGAGGATACATCTATATATATCTTTCATAATCAGCTATCCTATCACTGCTTTGTCCATCGATAACATTGCATCTCGTGGCTTTCATAATAATGTAACTGTGTATTATCCATCTGACAATATTGTAACTGATATACCAACTATATGTTTAAACAAACTCACTCCACTAGACAGGAGAATGGTGATAATCTAAAATATATTAGCAGCCAGTGGGTATATCTTTACGGATCATTTAGTGTCTCGATATCTTAATAATTATACCGCCCATGTCGTGCACTAGTGCTGGATGAAGGACTACATAGTGTGTGACCTTTGAGGAACGGGTTCACAAACAAGTCCTGACCAGCTTTCCCTTCAACCATGTCTACTATAGCCACCAACTGAAGCGTTATTAAGGCTAATTCTCCGTTAACAATAATACCATTCAAAGATATTCCATAAGGTTACATAATCCAATACATTAGCCGATAAGTAAGAGTTAAGGTATGTTAGAACTTCCTAAACACTCACAAATGTGGCACTTTGATATGAAACATTGTACGAGTACATCTCCATGTACGAGTATGTGTAAAAAGAGCCTTTTGAGCCATTACAATTATATTCTAATAATGCGGTCTTTGTTGAAGTATGTTTCTTCAGCATCACTCCCCAAGGTGCGAGTAAATTGTTCCAGTCACGCTGGAAAGCCAGGAATTGCTGGTGTTCACATGTCACCTAGGACAGACTGACCATTTGTCTGTACAGACGTCGGCCCATCCACCACCAGTGTTCTACACCTACCAATTCCCAACGTGACGAACGTGTCAGTAAAATAAATGGGTTTTCACAACGGAAGGTGAGGTTTATGTAGAGGGGGATATTCTAGCTGACGTCAGAACGACCTGTTTCCATTAATATTTGCTGTCATGTCCGGTTTATAACGACTAAAACATGTACAGTTATATATTATATTATATTATATTATATTATATTATATTATATTATATTATATTATATTATATTATATTATATTATATTATATTATATCATATATTATCATTCATATCATATATATATATTATATAGACATTACATTACATTATTATATAGTAATTACATTACATTACATTACGAACGTTACACCGTCGCATATTAAACCCGGTCGAAGCGCTATGATCTGGAACAAGAACCTACTACATTTCTCATATGGGTAAAACCTTTCTCCCGCACCAGACACCTATTGCAGGTTTAGGTTTTCGCGATGACAGACCGCTGGTGGGTAGCTTGGCTATTAAAGTGATCACTCTTCATGTTGAATACCCATACAGGTACAATGTGTGGAGCACATTCTTAGTACCATTATTTAGTATCATTAGATTGTGTATGGTCTGGGCCCTCCCACGTGAACTGATGCAGAATTCATGCTACGACCTAGTTCCCATGTGTGTAATCGCAGTTGGGAGTGTACACATAAATATTTGTAATCAATAATTAATGTAATCATATACATCCGGAAAAGCTATCCCACCTGAGAGGAAGACATCACTGCGCGTCATCACGTCTCATAATTCAAGATGACACCCTTGATACAATAACCTGGTCTCCATATATTTCCGTGCTTGTCAAATGAAAAGAAATTGACAGCATCTGTAATCTTAAACCGTGTAGGTAAAAATCCCTGTTGATACCCAAATGTACTCAAGCATGGATAGATGAAAGGCATCATTCAAACGCTGCCATAAATACCAACTTCATGAGTTGAATATATATCAATAGAAATAGAGCCATACATCAGAACTATTATGTGAGGATTGTGATAAGGGGTTCTACATCAGTGCAACGCAGAAAGATCTCTCCGGGTCACTAAACATGTATAGAGGACTATTTTCGAAGGCCTATTTCAGAACCAGTTTTATCAGAAAGAATACTTCAGATGATACATTCCTTTTGAAAAAGTTTTTCCCTCCGAACCTATTTATACAATAGTTATACCCTTTTCAACGCAAGCATTGATTGTTCTGGGGTGTGCAAATTTGTCGTCGAATGTTTAATCATGACAGACTGTTATGCCTTTGTGGTTATCCGTCAAATACCGGTTAAGTGTAGATAAATGTGGCAGCTAACGCCTTAATACCACTTCATGTGTAGAATAGGAACATGCTTCTTTGTATACTGGGATAGATCAAGCCAGTTGACGCTGAAACAATGTACAGATTTACAGAAGTAATGGGGTGGTGGGGTAGCCTAGTGGGCGAAGCGTTCGCTCGTCACGCCGAAGACCCGGGTTCGATTTCCCACATGGGTACAATGTGTGAAGCCCATTTCTGGTGTCCCCCACCGTGATATTGCTGGAATATTGCTAGAAGAGGGGAAAACAATACTCACTCACTGACTCACTACATAAGTAATACACAACCTATTGACGTGTTTGACACCTGGTCTCAATCCTGATTTTCAATAGTCCATGTATAATATTTACATATACACGTTGTAGGTGTAACCATGTTACGGATGAATGTAACTACATGTCAGCATGAATACTTGTACCTTCGCTGTACGTATTTCACACAAAAAGTACAGAAAATACAGCAGATGCCCCAGACGAGTTTACAACACCGCAAAGGTTCAGATAAGAGCAACCAGTACACTGATACCCGATATCTTTCAAAAGGTATAAGCCTGTCGTCTCACCTCAGGTCGTTCATACTCCTGCTGCTTGCGTGAAAAGGAACATATTTTCTCGGACGTATTGCCTCAAAGCTACTCTCTGCCCGTCTCATTCCTGTTAATCCATGATGACCAGATAGCATACGATTTGATCCATTTATAAAGACCACTTTTCCCGATTCGGAATGAACAACTCGCAGCAATGTAATTCCACCGCTCATATTGTCGTCTGCTGGAGAGGTGTAAGCAGACGAGATGAGCAGACGTATGAGCCTGGGCTGTACCGCTTACTGCTGAACCATGGCTGGGTCTGGTAGGAACGAGGGCGAAAACCCAGCTGACCAGAACTGTTCTTTGTTCCCCGAGTAAATAAATCTCATCCAGGGTCTAGAAAAGCACTCTAGTTGACATCGGCGGGTGTCGGTGTCGGCGGATAAACTCTGAGTTATGCAACCTTTCTTGAGCCACTGAACAAAACAAATGTAGCTCGATATGTAAAAACTCTCACAACCTCTTTTATTACGGTCCTGAGAAGTCAAGCCTTACGATTTTGTCCTGATCACGTCACGCCTGAGACAACCACTAGAGACTATTACCTTATGAGGGCTTGTGATGATAGGTATGCATATATGTGACAGTGTCGTGGATGACTGAGTTGGGAGAGCTACACTAGAATGCATTGGCTTAGATGCTGGGGAAATGGGTGGTGCTATTCAGCAGTGGAAGCAATTTACTGATTCATGTAATTTACTACATGAATGATCAATGACTTCATATCATCGGAATGGACCAAAATCCACAATTTCTTTAGGCTCACTATATCCCGGGACACATAGTTGGGTGACTAGATGTTAGGTTGGACCATTTATATGCTGTAGACTGTGACGTCTGATAGATAAAAAATATGTAAAGTGTTATTGACACCAGGTGAAAAGTTAGCCTAAACCAGAAGAAATGGGCGCCCAAAGATGACCTGGGTAACACCAGGAGCGGGTTCGTCAGTATTACGTTCATGCAAATCTTGACATCGACACAAATCGGTAAGGATGGAGAATATAACCCCGCAGCGTTCCGGTGAATAGGTTTCCCTAAAACGTTAAGTAGTTGTAACAAGGGTCGACTCATTTTCAGAATATATTGACATTTCATGTTATTTTGTGACCTCATCGTCAATAGTTTATTTGTATTTTATCTGATCACTTGTTGATAGTACCGTCAGCATTGAGGATAAGCAATATGTTCAATCTGATGAGAGCAAATCTTCAGTTATTCTATGGTGCCTTTGTAATAAATAAACACGGTTTCAGTATGATGACGTTTCGATATTTTCAAAATACAATTTGAGTAACATACTTGCACATTTGCATAAACATTTTCGCGGAATAAGACTGCTTAATGTATGACTATCATAAAACGTTTCGTCAAAGTTAAGAAGTTATATGATTTTTCTCCTAATATTGTTCTTGCGATTCTTTCATATAGGTTATTTTCTGTTGACTAAATGTATGTGCGCATTCGTCTATTGTGTGCCTTTTCTTTTAATACTTAAAGACAGCAGGAGGTAAACTGAATAGAGAAATTAAATCGGACATTCGGATGTAACATATAGGTAGATATATCAGAGATACACGTGCTCACAGTTCGTGCATTATGAAGTTATAGACATTTCAAGTTTCAACAGGTACTTGGAAAACAGGAGACCTAATTCCTATCAAGTCAGGCAGAGTAAATGCTGTTCTCGGAACAATACACCAGGTTCACGGTTGGAATAACACTAGTATGTGCAATACTTAATGCAGCTAATACCGCCCTACATGTGCATATAGTGTGTCCAGACCGCCCACATATACCGAGTGTATTTGGAGAGAGAATGAAGGACAGAGACACAGAGACAATGTAAGAGGGGTGGTGAGAAGCGGTACTGTTTTGTGTCCTGTTCATCTGAATTTTTTTCAAAATCTAAAACAACGAAAATGGAAGTTTTGATAACATCTACATTATATTAAAAATAACAGTTTGCAATGGTCTTATAAACAAATTCGTTGGTAAAGAACCATCCAGATGCCAGTTATTGAGGAAATGTTTTCATATTTCTGTCCCCAGAACCATGTGCACAGATGTCTATTTCTACAACGACATTCCATTGTAACTAAGTTTAGGTGACGACGTCAATAAAACTTGAATCAATAGAAGTATGTTACCGCTGATAACATTCCATTGTTGATAGGTCGATTGTTTGAGGTAGCCAAGGAGCAGCTCTGTGTGCAGTCTGATCTATTTCAACTAATTGACCCTGCCCTGTTGCCTGTGTACACACACTGGAGCAATCCATTCTACAATACGTTTCAGTTACAAGACTCGTAGTACTAGACTAATGGTAATGGTCACAACGTCGTGACTATTCCAAAGTCCAGATCGGATATAAGAATAGAGTAGCTATGGTCGAGGTACAGAAACGTATGTATCGAAATTTGTGTGTATTATATAAAAACGTATCGGATATGTTTGAACCCATTATAAACAATATCAGGTCAAGTTTGTAAACGTTTCGCTCCAAAACTTTTAATGTAGACTTTTGAAGGGTATTTCCCTATTTCGAGATTCAGTCGAGATTGGCTGCCTTTGCATGTGTTTATGACAGGTGCCAATAGGGGCCAGCGTATTCTTACCTTCTGGTAAATACCTGCTATCATCACCATTCGTTAGTGATTCATAAACAGATTCTCATGTTATAGTCGTAATCGTAACATGGACACCTTGTGTCAGATGATATCATCAGTATTTGATTGTAATTCATACACACATATTCAGGTTTAAGTCGGAAATATACAATGGACCCTACTTTTACCATTTGAAATAGTATTCTTATGACCATGGAATGGGTTCTGTCGTCTTTATTCTATAATCTGTAAAGTGACATATCACTGCCGGTGTAGAAGTTCAACACACTGTTGTCATATATCTACCAGTACGATTTAAAACTTTTTTATGACGTCATTAGCAACACTACATTTTACAACACAGAGCCATGATCATTACCCACTAAAATGACTAGTACAGATAAAGGTAGCAATTTATCGAGGAATCACTTATGAGACATGCTGAAACGTCACATGGCATGACCACCTGCTACTTCTCCCTAAACATACTGTATTGTTTTGTATATGACTGATGTAGTTGTTGGAAATTATATCTGATGTGTTGATAATGGGGATTAATAATGACTGAACCTCTATGGCGATGTGCATACACTGCGGACGTGCGTGGTGGGTTAGGGGGCTGTTTGTCATAGTGCTAATTTCATGGAGCTATTCCACTGAGATTCCATGCTGTAGTATAACATGTATACCTCACTCAGACTAAACCAGCCTTTAGCTAGACTACCGGTCAAAAATGAATGAACATATTAACATGCTTATAAAACAGGAAATTAAGGTGTTACTACATATGGTTACACGTTATCGAAAGTGTTACCTGTTAATGAAGATGTTACACATTAAACAGGGTAATGAAGATATAAAAAGCTTATGAAGTGATTAAATTTAAGATTTTCTGGTGTCTTTGCATACGCAGTACACCCTTCGTCCTTGTTCCTAATATGTAGAGGACAACGTGGACGTTTATTGCTTCGACAATGTGATGGATAGAAACAGGTTTCCAGTAAACTGCCGTGAATATTAGATTTATGTACGTGACACAGTCGTGAATGATGGAGTATTATAGGCGTGACCTAGATCTAGGTTGTGTAAACACTTGGTGAATATATGCCTCGTCTCTATTCCAAGCACCGCATTCCGAGTAATTGTCCGCAAATTTGGAAACCTTATTTATTGTCTGGTTTCAAAATGATATTTTGATGGTAGTGACCTGTTTCCCTAAAGGTATATTTAAGGTTACTTGTATTTCATTTTTGCATGAACATGATATTTATTGTAGTTTTTTGCAATATGGACATGATAAAAATGTCACACAAAAATATTAATAAAGCGTTTGATTGGGTTAGACGGGTATGACGTCAAATGATGTGACACATGAAATCGGTCCTTGAAGAGATAAATTCGAGACTTTCATTATTATATGGAAGGTACATGCATCTAGAAATCTATCAAACTGTTATCAAACTGAATACGAAAGAAATCAAAATAATATTCTATAGGAAACCATACAACAGTAGAAAGAAGAAGAACTACCACTAGGAAACAATAATAAAAACACAACTACATTCAGTCAAAGGGATTAAGTAAATAAGGAATATAAATAACACTGCATAATTTCATCATCATATGAAACAGCAAGCCATTTACCAAATTGCCATTTCAACACATGTACATACAAGTAGGCTCACTGTTATTCATAACGTATTGAAGCATGGAGTATTAAGAGAGATAATTGCGTTTTGAGTTGCATTGATAGCCCTCCAACGGTGTTAACAGTTGCAGCACATCTTTGCAAAATACACACGTGTGCTTGTGTACATTTGATACAAGTATACAATTTTTACATGATATATGAACATGAATAAACACAACTATATTAAGTCAAAGGGACTAATTAAATGAGAAATATAACAAAGATTGCAGAATCTCATTCTCAAGTCAAACAGCCAACCATTCCACAGTCCTTACCGTGATAAATATTTTCGAGCCATCTTGACCTCAGCCTTCCAGCGACCATGTAAAGCCCTCTTTATATATATGCCTTAACCATACGTCTCGATTAGTGTACATGTAAACTCACATGAGACAGCTACAATGATGAAGTAATGCATGAGGGAAATGTCAGACCGACTGCCCGTGGGTCTCGCCTTGTAAGATCCCTAGCATGGGAGGGCATAACATTCCTACGTGGGCCTCTTTAACGATAACCAGATGCTAACAAGGTAGTATGTCAACAAAGGTGTGAGATGTGGATTTGGATCTGTTTTAAATCCCTATCTACATGTCAATGACGCTATTATGCTGAGAACTGTATCAATCCATCTTCATTGTGGCCAAGGAGAATGGAATTAATTTGCTTCTTTTTCTCTAGTTTTCCACGTTACCATGACAATGTGATTTATTTGAAGGAACTAATCTACTTCAAGTACATCTTATAAAGGACTCGTTCTCGTTCTGTTTGTTTTTCGTTTGTATTTCGAACATCTGCTTTAAGCTGTCAGGGTGACCTGTTCGTAGACTTCATTGAGAAGCTTAACTCATGAATCTGTTCCATGTATAGAACGGTTTGCATTTGGTATGCTTTGCATAATACTTTTTTGTGAACTGTTACACACTTGAATTTACAATAATAACGCCAAAACATTTACAATCCTGATTACCGGCGACAGTACATTGTGTATAACAAGTAATACACTTTAAAATGGAATAAAATTGAACTGATTGCTGAAATCACAGATGACACCAGGTGTTCGTGAACATGGCATGCTACCATTAGCATCCGCAACTCGCAATTTGCAAACACATGTGTGCTTGTTGCCTGAACATGAGTACTCCTGCCATACGACACAGCCTTATAAACAAACTGAATCCAGGTGAATCCAGAATCCACTCGAGA